ATGTATTCACAATTCAAAAAATAAATGTACAAGAAGTTTAAATAGTGAAACTTTCAAATCAAGTTTTCAGCATTCGTATTTCTGAAGTTATTAAGGCTTAAAACTGTACTAAGGCTCGGGACACGGTGTGTTAACTCACTTAATCCTCCCAACTACTCTAATCAGTAGGTGCCATGATGATGCCCATTTGCAGATGAGGAAGCTAGGAATCCTGGGAGTGATGTGGGTTTCCCAAAGTCACGCTGGGAGCAGCCGCAGAGCTGGCCTGGGAGCTGTGCTCTGTCCACTAGAGCCATCCTACTTCACACTTCCCCGCACTCTCCACTGGCTGGGGCTGGATGGGAGGCCTGTGGGCTGGGGGTCGGGTAAAGACCACCACAGGATCCCAGTGTCCACTGTCCAGCCACTGCATGGGGGTACAGACTCCTGTAGGAGTAGCCTCTGGATTTTCCACTGCAGGAGAATGAAAGCGAAGCTAGGTGCAACCTGAGCCCCAGAACAATACTGATCGGCCGCTTGATGGTCCAGCAAGCCTCCATTTCACCTGCCGTGCCAAGCTCCTGCGTGTCCTCTGGCATCAGTATCCTATCCCAGCTCAGGGCCCTAAGCCCCAGCCTGGTTACAAACACACCGGTCCATTCCCCAAGGTACCAACTCCACATGTGTTGGATTAAAATGAACACTGCCCCCGGGACAGCCAACCCCCTTGGGGCAGCCAACCCCCTTGGGTCAGCTAACCCCCTTGCGTCAACCACTGTCATTTCCTGTTGCTCATGTGAAGGGCTCCCTAACCTGCCCAGCCAGGGGAGGGACTTGCTCCCCAGGAATCCCAGGCACTCCTGGCCCTGAGGGCAGAGGATGGCTGATGTCCCACATCCCAGCAACCTTCATGGCCCCTCTCTGTCCAGATCCACTTGGCTTTCTGGGATGAAGGCATGCTTTGCTTCTGTGGCCTTGTTACTGCCTGGATAGACAGCCCCTCGCAGGGTTTCACAGGCACACCCAAACAGGGTTAAGTCCCTTCCCCTCTACCCAGGTGCCCAGGACAGGTGAGTGGAAAGTCCCAGACAGTCCCGCCAGGTGCTTGGGAACCTCCGCAGTGGTGACCTCAGAGCTTCCCAGAGCCGCTCACTAACAGCATCAGAATGTGCTGACCCTGAAGGATAAGGATGGTGAGAGAGGCAATCTCTGACCCTCACGCCTGCTGTCTGGGTCACCTGCTACGCTATCTGGGCACAAGCGTCCATGCCTGGAGGATGGGCTGAGGAATGTACTGGCAGGTGTGGAGGATGTGGGTAGAGCAGAGTACTGGGGTAGGACAGTCTGGGAACTCTGTCCACTCCTCTCAGGACCCAGGAGCCCCAGCCTGTCCCCACCCCTGCAGCCTGTCACTTGCAGCTAGTATCTCAGGGGTTAGCACCCAGTATCCCACCAGCTTAGTGCCTAATCCTCTTGCCTGCCTTGGCAGGGGGTCATCCAAGGGAATTTGGGTCCATTTCTCTTCCTCTTGCTCCCGGTAGTTGCCCAGGGCTGGGGGAGGGGAGGAGGAGGAGGTAAGACAAAGAGATTGGAGATTAAGGCAAGAATCCTGACTGGTAGAGGAGAAGTGGGTTGGCCCAGGGCAGTGTCTCTATAGGGTTCTTGATTTGGGGTTGGGAGGGGGTGGGCATCTCTACACTTCCAAGAAAAGGCAGAGAAACGGGCCTCCGGTACTGGAATCCTTGCATTCTCTTTTCCAGCCACCTCTGCCCAGGCCCTCTCCTGGTACCCTCTCCCGGGCAAGAGTCCCAGTCTCCCTCTCTCTCCTCTAGGGCTTCCCCCGTCTTCTGTCCTCAGCCTCTGGAGAAGCTTTTGGTCTTGCCCCAGCCCTCACCAGGCCCAGTGGGGGTGGCCTGGAGAGTCCCAGTCTCCTTCCTTCTCCTCTAGGGCTTCCCCCATCCTCTGTCCTCAGCTTCTGGAGAAGCTTTTGGTCTTGCCCCCAGCCCTCACCAGGCCCAGTGGGGGTGGTCTCACAGGATCTCCCCAGCTCACTGATGTCTGTCCTCTAGACAGGGGCCCCGTGAAGCTCAGATACCAAAGGGACAGCTACTGACCTGTGTCCGGGGGTCCTGGACAGGACCTGGAGCTTCTCCTTCCCCAGCAGGGCAGGGAACGCAGTGGCAGCCCAGAAGCTGGAGTCTGACTCGGGGCTGGGTAATCCGCAGCTCAGGTTACTGACTCCGATATATATAGTATCTTATCTGACCTCGCAGACTCGCAGAGATGGCTAGCGCAACTCACTTGCATTCCAAGCCCCGGGGGAGAATTAAAGGGGCAGTGGCGTACCCACCCTGGAGGGGCTTCTCTGTTGGGCCGGTGCCAGCCAAGGAGATCTACTATGAAGCTTGGAAGGGGGCCATTTTGAAGTGTAGCTGCAGGGGGATTCAGAAGGAAACAGGACTGGAAAGAGGGTAGAAGGGTGGGGGTGAAACTTGAGGCAAAAATAGAGAAAAGGTGGATTCTTTGGAGCGGTCAGTCACAGAATTAGAGAACTGGGAGAATTCATACTGCTAGCTAGTCCAACTCCTTTTTTTTTTTTGAGTTGGAGTCAAAGGCACGGGATTACAGGCTCAGCCACCGAGCCCGGCAGTCCAACTCCTTTAATTTGGGGATAGAATAGACCTAGAGAAAGAAAGCAGCTCGCTCAAGGGCAGACAGATAGCAAGAGGCAGACAGGACCAGCACTCAGCTTTCAGTCCAATACTGTTTTGTAGTGGATTTCTAGGCCTGGGTTTGGATTCTAGTTCTTTCCCGTATTGACTTTGAGACAATGGGTAAGTCACTTAAGTTCTCTGAACCTTAGTTATTTAATCTGTAAAACGGGAATACTACTACTACTACTACTACTAATGGTATATCTCACAGTTGTGAGGATTAAATAAAATAATATTTGTAAATTTCCTGGCACATAATAAGAGTTCAATAATTGATGCTGATTATACTGAATATTCCTACTTATTATTATAATTAGTGGTATTATTAGTGATAGCACTTTACTGATGAAACTTCCTAGGAAGAGGGCCTCCAGGCTACCCTTTAGGGAGTACTCCTTTCTAATGCTAGAGAAGAGTCCTATGATTTTCTGAACTGGCCAAGTCCCATACCTGGGAAGGGCAAACCAGGCTTGCCATCTTCCCAGATGTCCAGTCCATCAAGCAGAGAAAGGCCAAACCCATTTGGAATCCTTCTCCCTTTGCCTAGAAAAATATGGCAAGCGTAGCTCCCCCCAGGCCACCGGAGAATGCCTGGCCCCTCTGGGGGTGGTTCCACTCTACCTGTGAGAGGGCTCAAGAATCCAGGGCCACAGAGCCGGGCTGGGCAGAGTCACAAGAGGAAGGAACGGGGTTCTTAGCCTCTCTGGCCTTGATGTACTTGTCTGCTCCCAGGATGTTTCTTGATGGCTCTCCCTGAGGACTGGGAGTACCCCTGTGCCTCCACCCTGTCTCAGCACAGGGTACTGACTCAGCCCGGGTCCTGATGATGCACTTCAGAGGACGCCCTCATTCCAGTCCTCATTCCAGCTCCAGTTTGGTGAGCATCCACAGCATCAAAGGAGTGGGGTATTCCCCAACCCTAACCGGATCAACTCTCCTTTGTTCTATGGGGTTCATTTGGGGGGTGTTCTCATGCCCATGCCAGGGGAGGTGAGCAGTCCCTACCACTGTTTACAGCTCAGCCAGGTCAGAAGGTAGGAAGTTCACTCCTAAGGGGAGAGCTAGAATGGGCTGGCCAGGGCTTACCTTGGCTGTTAAGAAGTTGCTTGCCTTGGAGCACCGCGTGCTTGCTCCTGATTTGAGATTGGTAAGAATTTCAAAGATGCCTCTATCTGGTTTGGGATTGGCAGAAAATCTCCCCTTCCGCTTAACTGGTGTCCTCCCCCCCCCCCCCCCCCCACCCCCCCTTTGACAAACTGACCAGAGATCAGCCCTGGGAGCCCTAAGAGCAGGGGGAATAGGTGAGCGACACGCACACGTGGGAAAGCGGTGGTCGGTGTCCAGGCGTCACTCTCAGGACACATACCACACAGAGCACAGCGACGTGGACCCGCCGAAGCAGTATTGCTTTAGAACACACTGATCAGCACACAGATGGCTCTTCCTGGCACCCTGGGCTGTCAGCTGGCAGCCCTCACACAACTGGCACCCACAGCTGGAGCTTCCCTGCACAGCTGGCCCTCGCCCTACATTTCCCGTGCCCATTCTGCCCAGGCTGCCGTTCACATCTCACTTTCTGAGCCTCAAACCGGCACTGCCCTCCGCCACCCCCGCTCCCCGGTCTCTGACCGGTGACACCTACCTGCCTCTTCTCGGAGGATGGACGAGTCGAACCCGGCACAAGCATGGAGCCGCGGGTGAGTCCCGGCTGGTACTGGCGCGGCGCAGTGAGCAGCAGCTGACGCAGAAGGCTCCCTGGCCTCGGCTCCTGCCCGCCTCTCCCCCACCTCCGCCGGGGGCCCAGAAAAGACCTCCCCGGGAAATCGGCGCCACCCAGCGGGCAGCCGCCTCATTGCGCCCGGGTCGGCGAAGCCACACCCCGCGTCTCGGGGTCGCGGGGACGCGTCACGGCTATTGGCTTGTTCCCATTGTGGCGTCATTAGAGTCCCGCCCGCCGTGGGGGGGGGGGGGAGGTCTCCCAGGCAACCTACATATACAGAGAGCCACGTGGAGGACAAGCACGAGAGTTTGCAGGGGGTGGAGCACCAGAAGTAGACTGGGATGTCGCACGACGCGGCGGCTGGAAGGTATTGGGAAAGGGGAAGGGTCATGGGAGCAGGCTCGGAACTTGAGTCCCGGGGCACATCAACTTTCAGTTTTTAGGGAAGGCTGAATGTTTCCGCCCCTTCCCACTGGCCTGGGGGAGGGTGCTGTTCCTCAGGCCCTTCTCTTTTTCTTTACTCTTTTCTTACTCTCTCTGTTCATTTTACTTCCGTGGAACCAGTGATTAGTGATGACTGCCTGAGCAGGTAAACGGGAGCACTGAGTCAGTGGGAGACATTCTCTTTGGTCTTTTCAAGAAAAAGCCGATACAGAACTTAAAATTTTGTCCCTCCTGTTCTTTGTATATAAGCTTCTCCCCCCTCCCTCCCCATGCTGATGAAGATAAACACGCAACCAGGTAGATTTTTCAACTACACCTGTCCCTTCTGGAACAACTGTTTGGTTTCCCTTAGGGTCCTCATTCCATCACTTCATTTTACAGATAGATATTGAGCACGCCAGCCAATCTTCTAGGAACTGGGGATATACAGTGAACCAAACAGGCACAATCCCTGCCCTCGAGGCGCTTACATTCTAGTAGAAATAGGACAATAACCAAATAAGTAGAATGTATATGTTACGTGGCACTAAATGTTATGGACATCAAGCGGGGGTGGGGGTGGATGGTATGGAGTCTGTGAGAAGTGGCCCGAGAAGGTGACATTCGAGTGACCCAAGGGAGGCTAGGAGTGAGCCATGTAGAAATGTAGCGAAAGGGTGTCCTAGGTAGAAGAATAGCAAATGCAAAAGGTCCTGAGGTGGGGCTTACCTGCCACTTTTGAGGAAAAATAAGGTCAGTGTAGCTGGAGTGAAAAGAGGAGAGATATGTAGGGGGAGATGGGAGGTGAGGTCAAAGAGAGAAGGGAGGGACCCCCTTGTAAGACCTCAAGGCCATTCTGAGGACTTTGGCTTTTCCTCTGAGATGGGAGCCATTGGAAAGTTTTGAACAGAGGAGGGACAAGGATCTGACTTTTGTTTGAACAGAATCTCTTTAGCTACTGTATGGAGAACAGATTTGAAGAGAGCCAGAGCAGAAGCAGAAGGTCATTTAGGAGGTCACTGCAAGTATCTGGTGAGAGATGATGGTGGCTCAGGGTTAGGGTGGTAGCAGGAGAGGCGATGCGAGTAGTTGGACTCTGGACGTTTTTTGCATGTAGACTCAAAGGATTTTCCGACAGATCAGATAGTGTGAGGGAAAGGGAAGAATTTTTTCACCTGCACTTTAACTGAGAAGGAGAAAGCTGTGGAAGGAGCATGTGGGAGTCGGTGTGAGTTGGGGTAGGGAGGGGGAGGTAGATCAGGATCCTGGCTTAATACATCATAAAATTTGAGGCTGGGCTCGGTGGCTCAGCCTGTAATCCTAGCACTTTGGGAGGCCAAGGTGAGTGGATTGCCTGAGCCTGCAGGTTCAAGACCAGCCCGGGCAGCTTGGCAAGACCTCGTCTCTACAATAAATCAAAAATTAGCCGGGCGTGGTAGCACTCACCTGTAGTTCTGGCTACTTGGAAGACTGAGGTGGAATGATCGCCAGAGCCCAGCAGGTTGACACTGGGGTGGCTGTGAGTGTGCCACTGCATTCCAGCATTGGCAACAGAGTGAGACTCCGACTCAAAAAAAAAAAAAAAAAATTGAGCTATTAGGCATCCAAATAGAGATGTCAAGAAAGCAGCTGGGTGTGCATGTTTGGTGTTGACCTGGGGTTGATGATATAAAATCGAGAGTCATCAGCATTTGGATGTTATTTACAACCATGATATCAGAAGAATTACTAAGGGAGCAAGTGCAGATAGAAAAGATGTACAAGGACTGAATCCTGGAGCTTGCCACCATTAAATGTTTTTAGAGATCACTTGGCGCCATCAGAGAGACTGAGGGATGGCCAGTGTAGCGAGGCAAAAAACCCCAGGAGATGGTGGCAAGCTGGAAGCCAAGAGAAGGAGCCTTACCAAGGAGGAGGGAAAGATCAACTGGTCAAATGCTGCCCATAGGTTAAGTAAGGTAGATTTGATAATTGATTTAGAAGATTGTCAGTGGCCTTGACAAGAATAGTTTTGGTGGTGTGGTGGGGATAAAAGTCTGTGGATGAGGTCAAGAAAGAATGGGAGGAGAGGGATGGAAACAGTATAGACAACTCCTTGGAGGGGTTTTGTTGTAAAAGAAGGAGAGAAATGGGGTGGGAGCTAAAAGGAGAAATGAGGTCAAAAAAATGTTTTAAATGGGAAAAACAGCTAGATGTTATATACCGACGGGAAAGAGCCAGGAGGGAGTGAAAAGCGATGATGCAGGGGAGAATGAGGACAGTGTCTGGAGCAGTGTCCCAGGTAGAAGGGATGGGATGGAGCACAAGAGTGGAGGGGCTGGCTTTGGCTAGAGGCCGGCCGGTTCCTCCACAGTAAACAGAGAGAAAGGCACAGTAGTATCTGGGCACGGATGTAGAGAAGTGGATGGATGTGGTGGGAGCTAGTGGATGTTCTTTCCTGATGGTCTTTCTTGCTCCATGAGTTAGGAAGCAAGGTGAGAGCGAGAGTGGAGGAGGAAGTGCTGGGAATTTGAAGAGAGAGGCGGAGCTATAAAGTAGTCACTGAGACTTTGAAAGACTGAGGTGGGAGCATCGCTTGAGCCCAGGAATTTGAGGCTGCAGTGAGCTCTGATTGCACCACTGCACTCCAGCCTGGGTGACAGAGAGAGCCCCTGTCTCTAAAAATGAAATAAAATAAAATAATTAAGGGAACACTTAAGGTTTGGTCTGAAAGTAGTGAGTTATCTCAGTTGACTGTTCACAGACAGTTACAGATTGAGCTCCTTTTTCTGTTCACTCTTTTCCCCCTTCTCACTACTACACTTGACTAGTCTTAAAAGAAACATTGAGAGCAGTGATTCTCAAACTTGAGTGTGTGTCCGAATCACCCAGAGAGCTTGTTATAGCCCTGCCATCCCTCAGACTTTCCGATTCAGTGGGTCTGGGGTGAGCCTGAGAATCTGCATTTTTTACAAGTCCTGGGTGAGGCTGCAGCTGCTGGGATGGGGATGCTAGAAGGTAGAAGAGTGAATGGACTGTGGAAACACAGTGTAGTTGTCAGACAGTGTCAAGGGCCCATTTGAGGCTAGGAATCAGGACTCGAAAGTGTCTCCCATCAGAGTTCTTTCTCATCACATTTGCAATCACTGGCTCAGGTTATAGTCCTGTCTCTAAAACTTTCATTTTCTGTGGACTTTTCCTTTGGCATGTAATAGGCTCCACATCCTTCCCTTTTATTTGTTTTGTTTTGTTTTAATTGAAGTCTCACTCTGTCTCCCAGACTGGAGTACAGTGGCATAATCATGGCTCACCGTGTCCTTGACCTCTTGGGCTCAGGCGATCCTTTCCTCTCACCTCCCAAGTAGCTGGGACTCTAGGGACCTGCTACCATACCTGGCTAATTTTTTGATTTTTTGTGGTGATGAGGTCTTGCTATGTTGCCCAGGCTCATCTCAAACTCCTGGGCTCAAGCGATTCTCTTGCCTTGGCCTCCCAAAGTGCTAGGATTACAGACATGAGCCCAGCCTTTGTCCTTTAAAATCTGAAAATCTTTAACTTAGGTCCTAGCTGTCCCCTCTTTACAGTTCCCCTGGAAGAGTGGTACACACCCCATCTCCTAGTCTATGCAACATCTACAACACTTCTTCTCTCTTGAAACCTTAGGCAACTTCTCTTATGCAGTCCTTACTGATCTCCCAGATGTGAAACCTAAATCCAATGAACATTTTTTGGTTATAATCATCAATTACTTGACCGCCTGGAATTTTGATACCTCCAATCATTTCCTTCTTGTCGCTTTCTCCTCCTTTGGGTTTTGTGACACAGTGCCACTCTGGGTTTCCTCCTGACAGTGCTTCCTCATTCTCCTTTTCCTCTGGTGTTCCTTCATCCTCTTTTTTTTTTTTTTGGAGTCAGAGTCTCACTCTGTCACCCAGACTGGAGTGCAGTAGCACAATCATGGCTCATTGCAGCCTCAAACTCATGAACTCAGGCCATCTTTCCACCTCAGGCTCTTCAGTAGCTGGGACTACAAGTGTGTGCCATCACGCCTGGCTAATTTTTAAATTTTTTTGTAGAGATGAGGTCTCACATGTTGTCTAGGCTGGTCTTGAACTACTGTGCTCAAGCAGTCCTCTTGCTTTGACCTTCCAAAGTGCTGGGATTACAGGCATGAGCCACTGCACCTAGCCCCTTCATTTTCTTTATTTCTAGGGTAGCTTATAACACCGTGATTGTTTTATGTGTAGGTTATTTTTATGTGTAGGTTATAGATTTACTGGGTTGACTTCGAGTTTTCTGGTTTCTAGCTGTGAGGCCTAAAACAAAAATATATCTATTTCTTTATATATATATTTTAATGGGGCTGGGTGGTGGCTCACACCTGTAATCTCAGCTATTTGGGAGGCTAAGGGAGGAGAGTCATTTGAACCTTAGAGATTTTTGAGTCCAGCCTGGGCAACATAGCCAGCCAGTCTCAAAAAAAAAAAAAGGCAATAGTAATTGCCTCATAGGGTTGATTTGAGTATTCAATGAGTCAGTATGCATAAAAAGCTTATAACAATGGCTGGCACACAGCGAGTATGTAAGATCACCACCATCCACCACTCATCCCTCGGCTACTGCCTATATGGGCTGATGATGCCAGAATTGGTATTTTCAGGTAAACCTCATTCCTGAGCACCAGTCATCATTACTCAACTGCCCCTGACAGCATCTCAACTTTGACACATCCAAACCTTAGACTCAGCGTTTTCACTTCACTCACTT